GAATGGCCCTTCAGCTTCAAAGATTAATCCATCCTCATTACTTAGACAAGTCAGGTAAGGGAGGACTCACAATGAGTCACTATTTTCCCACAGGGCAAGTTTAGGAACACTGACCTTTTCCCCTTGCCCTTAATCTTGTCCATTGCTGGGTACAATGAGCCTAATATTGCTGGGAAGTAAGTGATAGGCTACATGCCTAATAGTGAATTTTCCTCATTTGCATTTTGATACAGCATGCCTTTCTGTGTGTATAATGTGACTAGTTTAACCCTCTGCAAGTTTTCTTTTTGTGGATGGCGAAGGGGAAGGGATCTGTACATCCAGGTCTTATGTAGACCTCACCCCCTGTCCTTTCTGGTGATGTTTATGTCATGAATAGTAGCACATGAATCTTTGAGAAATAATATTCAGCCACATTCAACTTTTACCTGTGACAACAACTTTTATTTATATTGTGCTTTAGAAATAGTAAAATGTTCCAAGGTGCTTCACAGGAGCATCATAAAACAAGGTGTGCTATTGAATGGCCTAAGGAAGTATTATGTTTGACAAGCAAAAGCTTGGTCAAAGAGGTAGGTTTTAAGATGTTGCAAAGGACATAAGTGAGGTGGAAAGGCAGAAAGGTGTAGGGAGGGTATACCAAATCTTCACATTTAGGCAACTGAAAGGGTTGCCAAGGGAAAGTGATTAAAGTTCTAAAGTGGTTCCTAAAATCAGGGATGCACAAAAGACCAGAATTTGAGCAGCATATAGACCATCAAAGGGTTGCAGGGCTGTAAGAAAAGACAAAGGTACGGAGGGGAAGGCCACTGTGGGACTTGAAAGCAAAAATGAAAATTTTAAAATCAAGGTGTTGTTGATTGAAAGGCAATGCAAGTCTGTGAATGAAGTGGTGCTAGGGGCACCGAAGATGTTGTGAGCTAAGGCACAGGCATCAAGCTTTGAATGACCTTAAGTTTACAGAGCAGAGAATGTGGGAGACAGGGAACATAGGAACAAGAGTAGACCATTCAGCCTATTGAGCCTGCACTGACATTCAATGAGATCATGATTGATCTGTGGTTTAATTCCATGAACCTGCCTTTGGTCCATAAGCCTTAATACCTTTGCTTAACAAAAAATTATCTCTCTGATTTAAAATTAACAACAAATTTAGCATCCACTGCTGTTTGTGGAAGGGAGTTTCAAATATCTACCACACTTTGCATGTAAAAGTGCATCTCTCCTGAATGGTCTGGTCCTAAATTCCCAGGCTATCCCCCTAGTTGTATAATTCCCAACCAGTGGAAATAGTTTATTTTTATCTACCCTGTCTTTTCCTGTTAATTTCTTGAAGACTTTTAATGACATCACCCATTAATCTTCCAAATTCCTGAGAAAACAGGTCCAATCAATTTGTACAAGCTCTCTTCATGACTTAACCCCTGAAGGCCAGGTCTCATAGAACGTACATCATAGGAACAAGCCCTTCAGCCCACCATGTCTGTGCTGACAATGGTTGGACAAGATATGTTAACCAGTTGTAAATAAGAGAAACAGTTGCTCCTGTGTTTCCCACTTATTGAATGCTGAATACAGGCATCTAGTGGTCAGTTGCAGGTGTGGCAAGAAATCAGGATGCAAACTGTGCATAGAATCTGGGTTAAGGTGTAAAAACGTATCGATGTAAACATGCAGTTTGTATTCAGCCCTTGACAATATTGTGCACACATATCAGTCACCTTATGGTGCTCTGATAAAATGTAGCTCTCAGTACAAAATGAATCCAAAAAAACCTGTAAAACTTAACGCGTGAAAATTCATGACAGTTAAGTTGCCATTTACAAAAGAAAGCTCAATAAAAATCAAAGATTTCTATTCAAGACATTTTTTTGAGATAATTCTGTTCCTTGAAAGAATTAATATCGTCATAACATTTTAAATGGTCATCTGGAATAGTGGGTCCAAATGCATGAAAAATCATGGAAAATGTTAAAGGAGGGGAGGGCAGAGGTTATTAAGTTTCCAGAACAAGTAATAGGACAGAAAGTATGGAAAGGGTCACGAATCTAACTTCAGGCACAACAGGTAAGGGGACAATTATGAGAAGGAGTCAGTCAACACAGGACTGAGGGTGTTGTACTTAAAAGCACGCAGTACATGAAACAGGGTAAATGAGCTTGTAGCGCAAATTTAAATTGGTGAGTATGGTGTTGTGGGTATCATAAGACATGGCTGCAAGGGAATCAGGGCTGGGCATTAAATATCCAAGGCCACACACCCTATCAAAAGGGCAGGCAGATGGGCAGAGGGGGCGGGGTTGCCTTGTTAGTAAGAAATGAAATTAAATCGATACAGAATTAGAAGGCGTGGATTTTATGTGGGCAAAGTTGAAGAACCGCAAATGAGAAGACTCTAATGGGAGGTTTCACAGACCTCCTTACATTAGTCAGGATGTGGGGAAGAAAATAAATCAGGATATAGAAAAGGCATGTAAGAAAGGCACTATTATAATAATCACGTGGCGCTTCAATATGGAGGTGGTCTGGGAAAATCAGGTTGGCAACAGATGTCAAGAAGAGGAATTTGTGCAATCTCTACGAGATGGTTTATTGGAACAACTTGTGGTACAGCCCACTAGGGAACAGGCAACAATGGATTTGGTAATGTGTAATGAGGCAGACTTGATTAGGGAGCTTAAGGTGAGGGAACCCCAAGGGGCAATGACCATAATATGATAGAACTCACTCTACAGTTTGAGAGGAAGAAGCTGGAATCAGATGTAACAGTATAAAAAATTGGGTAAAGATAACTACAAAGACATAAGGGAGGAGCTGGCCAGAGTTGATTGGAAGGGACCCTAGCAGGGAAGTTGGTGAAGCAGTGTTGGCAGGAGTTTCTGGAGGTAATTCTAGAGACAAAGCAGAAATCCTAAGGAAGAAGAAAATATTAAGTGGAGCATGAAGCAACCATGGCTGACAAAGTAAGTCAGGGACAGCATAAAAGCAAAAGGAAAAGCATACAACGTGGTGAAGATTATTGGGAAGCCAGAGGGTTGGGAAGCCTTTAAAAACCAGTAGAGGATAACTACTAAAGCAATGGGGGGAGTAGATGAAATATGAGAATAAGCTAGTGAGTGATATGAAAGAAGATTGCAAGACTGCTTTTAGATATCTAAAAGGTAAGACAGAAGCAAGAGTAGGTCTTGGACCACTAGAAAATAAGGCTGGAGAAGTTGTAATGGGAACAAAGATATGGTGGAGGAACTGAATAGGTATTTTGCATAAGTTTTCACAGTGGAAGACATCAGCAGCATACCAGAATTATGAGACAGTCATGGGGTTGAAGTGAGTATAGTGGCCATTGTTAAGGAGAAGGTGCTGAGGAAGCTGAAAGGTTTGAAGGTGGATACATCACCCGGACCAGATGGACAACATCCCAGAGTTCTGAAGCAGATGGATGAGGAGAATGTAGAGGCATTGGTGGTGATCTTTCAGGAATCACTGGAGTTAGGGAGGGTCCCACAGGACTCGAAAATGGCTAATGTAATAGCCCCTGTTTAAGAAGGGAGGGAGGCAGAAGACAGGAAACAATAGGCCTGACTTCGGTCGTTGTAATATTTTAACAGTCTATTATTAAGGATAAGATTGTGTGCACTTTGAAGTGCATGGTAAAATAGGGCTGAGTCTGCACGACTTTATCAAGAGGAGGTCATGCCTGACAAATTTGTTAGAATTCTTTGAGGAAGGAACAAGCAAGTTAGACAAAAGACAGCCAGTGGTCATGATCCATTTGGATTTCCAGGAGGTCTTTGATAAGGTGCCTCGTAGGAGGCTGCTAAACAAAATAAGAACGTGTTAGGGGTAAGGTACTGGCATGGATAGAGGATTGGCTGACTGGCAGATGGCAGAATGTAGGGTTAAAGGGGTCTTTGTCAGGATGGCAGCTGATGACTAGTAGAGTTCCACAGGGACCACAATTATTCATGTTATATATTAACAATCTGTACGAAGAAACTGAGGGCATTGTTGATAAGTTTTCAGGTGATACAAAGATAGATGGAAGGACAGGTAGTTTTGAGGAAGTGAGGAGACTGCAGAAGGACTTGGATAGGCAAAAAGAACGGGCAAAGAAATGGTGGATGGATTACAATGTCAGAAATTGTTATACACTTTGGTGGGAAGAACAGAAGTGTAGACTATTTTCTAAGTGGGGAAAGGCTTCAGAAATCTGAAGCACAAGGGACTTGGGAGTCCTAGTTCAGGATTCTCTCCAGGTTAACATGCAGATTCATTTGGCAGTTAGGAAGACAAATGCAATGTCAGCATTCATTTCAAGAGGACTAGAATACTAGAGCAGAAATGTTCTGCTGAGACTATGTAGTAGTCTGGTCAGACCAATTTGAATATTGTGTTTTGGGCCTCAGCACAGACGAGTCAGCCCAATGGTCTGTTTCTGTGCTGTATGAATCTATGACTCTTTGAGGTATGTGCTAGTGTTGGACGAGTCCAAAGGAGGTTTACAAGAATGATCCCAGGGAAGTAGGGCTTGTCATATGAGGAGCAGTTGAGGACTCTGGCTCCAAATCGATAGAGTTTAGATGAATGAGAGGGCTGATTGAAACTTACAAAATACTGACAGGCCTGGACAGAGTGGACACGGAGAAACTGTTTCCACCAGTAGGGGTGACTAGGACTCAAGGGCACAGGCCCAGAGTGAAGGGACGGCCCTTCAGAACTGAGATAAGGAGGAATTTCTTAAGCCAGAAGGTGGTGAGTCTGTGGAACTCATTGCTGCAGAAGGTTGTGGAGGTTAAGTCATTGAGTGTATTTAAGACAGAGCTAGTTAGGTTTTTGACAGGTAAGCAGATCAAGGGTTACGAGGAGAAGGTGAGAGAATGGGGTTGCAAACCATGTTAGCCATGATCAAATGGCAGAGCAGACTCAATGGGCCGAATCGCCTAATTCTGCTCCTGTATCTTATGGTCTTATGGAAAAAGTAGCAGCATCAATGACACCTACCAGTGACTTGGTCAACTAAAATTCTGGAAGTGATGATTCGGCCATATTGTGAAAACATCTGCTCCAATTCTTTCTGAGTCATAGATTTAGGAAGGCCACTAACATACAAATTAGCATCACGAATTGATGCAGAACTTGGACGAGCATAAGAAACCTAGAGAAATGATAAAAGCAAGAAATTCTGCTAAATAAGCTTTTATAAAAATAGAAAATATTGAATAGTAGTTTTGGAATAATTTGTACAATTCTTGGCTTGCTAAAATATCTTCTGCCTATCCATTTATGATGAGAAAGGGTAAATTTATACTGTTAAGATATTTTATACTCAATCCACTTACTTGCCTTGTGTAATTGTATAGACAAGAAAAGAACATAGAACCTAACTTTTGCAGTGTGAAACATAATCGACTTTTAAACCTTATTGAGGTTATCGCATTAAACTTTTCTATATGGATATAAATTATGATGAAGCTAATAAATTGAGAATATATATGATTAACATTCACAGTTTCTGGTAAATAAGAACCATTGAGAAAAACAAAAGCTTTGATTTTAACTGGGAAAGAGAATGGGAAGATGGCAAATGCAGCAGCCCTCAGGTGTGCTGCAGAGGCAACAATAGCAATTGCACCATCCTTCTACATGTAGGTAAGTGAAAAAACAACCAAAAGACTTTTGTTGGTGGCTTTGTTAGGCTGTAGCAAGCCCGTGAAAACCTTCAGTGATAATGGACTCAACAAATTCTACTCAGCAGCAAAGTATATGCAGGGGTCCTTAAACAGGAGTAAAGCTCTTTACTTACACAGGAAAAATGACCATCGTCTCAGAGAATCATAAGGCCACGGTCTCAATACAGAGAGACGACTGGAAGTAAGTTTAACCTGAAGGTCACTCCACCTCATGAGAGGGGTGAAGTTGAGAAGGCAGGACCTTCATGTTAACCTCAGCTGATGCGGGAAATTGACCTATACTGTTGGCATCACTCTGCATCAACAAACCAGACATCCAGCCAATAGAGCTAACTGCCCACTGGCCTGCCTTATTTACATATGCCTATTATGTATAAATTAGCACCAGCATCCGACACAAAATCAGGTATGGTTTAACGTGTCCCAAAATTGCACATTTATGCCTGTTGTATGGACACAATAAGGACTCATTTCTAACCTTATCATAGCTTTAACTGGCTGTACTATACAGAAATTCAAAACATAAAACTCAACCTTCTGGCATGAAATTAACAAGTAAAAGCTCAGGGGAAGATTATTTTAAAGAAAATCACCAATCGTGTCACCTCAAGCTTTAATACAAAGAGCAAAACAGGATGAAAAAGTAAACAAAAACTTCAATTTCCGACTATATTAATTTCAAAAGATTTTATATTTTTCTGTTTTCCCTCTGAAGGTTGGGTGTCTCAAATTTGTTGATGGACGTATCAGAAAGTTTATTTTGAGGTGAAAGGCTGTAGTCAACAGTTGTGTGTGTGAACTGTCTGTATGAAGATTAAAAAAACAGGTAATATTGATTCAGTTGCTTGTTTTACATTTTTCCCAATTTTCATTCACGCCAGAAGTGTAATAGGCAGTTCAATTGATATCAGCCATTTTATGCAATAACTCAAGTCAAAACTATCCTGTGTGATTTAACAATTACACAAGGCATATATTTTATTTTAAGAAAGCACTTTAACGTGTACATTAAAAACCAATGCTCAAAAGCAAATACGATGTCACTTACCTTTATGGTCTTGGTCTGAAGTCTAAGCCCATTTAAAGTATTAATTGCTTTCTCTGCATCCTTTGGATCTACATAGTTCACAAAACCGTATCCCAAACTTTGCCCTGTTGAAGATGGCCAAATATTAGTTTCTGAAAAGTAGTCACACTACAATGCAACTCACAATGAACAACTGATGCTCCCTGAAAAGAGTGATGTAATCTTCAGGTTGTTTTCAAAGAAAACAAAGCACTTCCTCCTCCCAACCTTCATTCCACTTCCTCTCAATTCATGCAATCAAATCATGTCTAACCATATAATGTAGGATACCATTAATATAGAATGCAAATGTCTAAGCTTTGCTTGGTAACCGAATATTTCATGAAATCAAAGGAAGCTGAATGTGATTTCCTGAAATCTTTCAGTGCAACACATCAAAATTAATTAATACTAAAATTAAAATATTAATAATATTTTTACACTTCAAAACATAAAGAATAGCTAAGTTTAGTATCACATTTTTTATTTCTGTACAATTTGAGAAAAAGAAGAAAAACCGAAAGAACTGTGGATCAAAAACAGAAGTTGCTGGAAAAGCTCAGCAGGTTTGGTGGCATCTGCGAAGAAAAACTCAGAGTTAACGTATCGGGTCAGGTGACCCTTCCTCAGAACTGATGGTAGCTGGGAAGTTTATATGCAGAAAAAAGGGAGGGGGATGGGTAGTGAGTAAATGACAGGATAAAGCACAGAGCCCAAAGAAAGAGAAGAGCAGTTGGATAGACATTGGAATTGATAATGATCTGACTAGGAGGGTGAATAGCTGTTAATGGGGACTGTTAGTGACTAACAATGGGTGGTGTGTAATGGCAGGCTATGTGATAACAAGGCCTGGTGTGTGAGGTAGTGGGCTAGGACATGAGATAGTTTAGGTCCTAAAATTATTGAACTTGATATTGAGTCCGTAGGGTTGGAGGGCCCCCAAGTGGAAAATGAGGTGTTGTCCTTCCAGCTTGTGTTGAGCTTCGCTGGAACACTGCAACAAGCAGAGATGTTGGCCAGGGAACAGGGTGGTGTGTTAAAGTGGCTGGTAACTGGAAACTCAGGGTCTTTTTTGCGAACAAAGTGTAGATGTTCTATGAAGTGGTTACCCTGTCTATGCTTTGTTTCACCAATGTAGAGGAGATCACATTGTGAGCTGCGAATGCAGTAAACTAGATTCTGGAAAGTGCAGGTGAAGTGTTGCTTCATCTGGAAGGTATGTTTGGGCCCTTGGATACTGGGGAGAGAGGAGGTAAATGGGCAGGTATTGCACCTTCGCCGGTTGCAGGGGAAGGTGCCTTGTAGCGGTGCGGGGTGTTGGGGGTGAAGGAAGAGTGGACCAGGGTGTCCCAGAGGGAACGGTCTCTGCGGAAGGCAGGGGAGGGGAATATGTGTCTGGTGGTGGCATCTCGCTGCAGGTGGCGGAAATGGCGTCTGATGATCTTGGATGTGGATGCTGGTGGGATGGTAGGTAAGGACAAGGGGAACTCTATCACAGTTGCGGGAGGGAAGAGAAGGGGTGAGGGCGGAAGTGTGGGAGATGGGTTGGACCTGGTTGAGGGCTCTGTCGACAACGGTGCTGGGGAATCCTCGGTTGAGGAAGAAGGTGGATATTTCGGAGGCTCCCTTGTCGAAGTTGGCCTCATCTAAATATATGCGACGGAGATGGAGGAACTGAAAGAATGGAGTTTTTACACGAAGTAGGGTGTGAGAATGTACAGTCCAGGTAGCTGTGAGAGTCAGTGGGTTTACAGTGGATATTAATGGCCAGTCTACTCCCAGAAATAGAAACAGAGATGTCGAGGAAGGGAAGGGAGGAATCAGAGATAGACCAAGGGAAAGTGAGGGCAGGGTGGAAATTGGAGGCGAAATCAATGAACTTTTCCAATTCCAGATGAGAGAGGGAAGCAGTACAAATGATATCATTGATATATTGGAGAAAGAGTTGTGGGAGAAGGTCGGACTAGGACTGGAAAAAGGAATGTTCCATGTAACCCACGAAGAAACCAGCATAACTGGGGCCCATGCGGGTACCCATGGCCACCCTTCTGACTTGATGAAAATGAGAGGAGTTAAAAGAGAAATTATTGAGGGTGAGGACGAGCTCAGCCATGTGGAGAAGGGTGGTGGTGGGTGGGGACGGTTCAGGTTTTTGCTCGAGGATGAAGCAGAGGGGCCGAAGACCCTCCTGGTGTGGAATGGACGTGTAAAGGGATTGCACGTCCATGGTAAAGAGGAGGTGCTGGAGCATGCAAACTGGAAATTTTGAAACCGGCGTAAAGTATCAGAGGATTCATGGATGTACGTGGGCAGCGATTGGATCAGGGGAGAGAAGACTGAGTCAAGGTAGGAAGAGATGAGTTCTGTGGGGCAGGAGCAGGCTGAAACAATGGGTCTGCCTGGACAGTCCTATCTGGGGATTTTTGGAAGGAGGTAGAAGCGAGCTGCGTGGGGCTGGGGGACTTTCAGCTTGGAGGCTGGGGCGGGGGGTCCTAGTCAGATGAAATGAGATCAGTTACTGTATTTGATACAATGGCCTGATGTGTCATGGTGGGGTCATGGTCCAGGGGAAGATAGGAGGAGGTGTGCGAGGACTTGTGTTGAGCCTCTGCAATACAGAGGTCTGTATGCCAGACTACAACAGCACCACCCTTATTGGCAGGCTTAATAACAAAGTCAGAGTTAGATCTGAGTGCACAGAATGCAGTCAGTTTGGAGAACACAGAACATAGAACATTACAGCGCAGTACAGGCCCTTCGGCCCTCGATGTTGCACCGACCTGTGAAACCAATCTGAAGCCCATCTAACCTAAACTATTCCATTATCATCCATATGTTTATCCAATGACCATTTAAATGCCCTTAAAGTTGGCGACTCTACTACTTTTGCAGGCAGGGCATTCCACGCCCTTACTACTCTCTGAGTAAAGAACCTACCTCTGACATCTGTCCTATATCTATCACCCCTCAATTTAAAGCTATGTCCCCTCGTGCTAGCCATCACCATCCGAGGAAAAGGGCTCCCACTGTCCACCCTATCTAATCCTCTGATCATCTTGTATGTCTCTATTAAGTCACCTCTTAACCTTCTTTTCTCTAACGAAAACAGCCTCAAGTCCCTCAGCCTTTCCTCATAAGACCTTCCCTCCATACCAGGCAACATCCTGGTAAATCTCCTCTGCACCCTTTCCAATGCTTCCACATCCTTCCTATAATGCGGTGACCAGAACTGTACGCAATACTCCAAGTGCGGCCGCACCAGAGTTTTGTACGGCTGCAACATGACCTCATGGCTCCGAAACTCAATCCCTCTACCAATAAAACCTAACATACCGTACGCCTTCTTAACAACGCTATCAACCTGGGTGGCAACTTTCAATGATCTATGCACATGGACACCGAGATCTCTCTGCTCATCCACACTACCCAAGAATCTTACCATTAGCCCAGTACTCTGTATTCCTGTTACTCCTTCCAAAGTGAATTACCTCACACTTTTCCGCATTAAACTCCATTTGCCACCTCTCAGCCCAGCACTGCAGCTTATCTATGTCCCTCTGTAACTTGCAACATCCTTCCGCACTATCCACAACTCCATCGACTTTGGTGTCATCCGCAAATTTACTAACCCATCCTTCTACGCCCTCATCCAGGTCATTTATAAAAATGACAAACAGCAGTGGCCCCAAAACAGATCTTTGCGGTACACCACTCGTAACTGAACTCCAGGATGAACGTTTCCCATCAACCACCACCCTCTGTCTTCTTACAGCTAGCCAATTTCTGATCCAAACCGCTAAATCACCCCCAATCCCATGCCTCCGTATTTTCTGCAATAGCCTACCATGGGGAACCTTATCAAACGCTTTACTGAAATCCATATACACCACATCGACCGCTTTACCCTCATCGACAGTTCTCAATGAACAGATCAAGTGCAGGTAAAAGGCCAGAGGGATGGATTAAGGTGCAGGGACAGTGCACAGTTGGAACTGGATGAAGGGATCTGTGGGATGGAAGAGGACTCTTGTCCAAAGAAATGGGCGAAGATGGCGAAAGAAGAGTTCAACGTCATGTCTTGCCTGAAATTTGTTATGGTGGGAACACAAAGGAATAAAGGTGAGGCCTTTGCTGAGTACAGAACGTTCAGCATCAGACAGCAGAAGGTTAGAAGGGATGGTGAATACCCGACAGGAGGTGGGTTGGAGGAGGGTATGGAGTCAGAGGGGAGGGGAGGGGAGGACAGAAAGATTCCAGAGGGCTAAGGGTATCTCTGAGTTGTGCATCTTGTAGGCCTTGACACCTGAAAGGAAAAGGACAAGTTTCTTATTAGCACGACAACTGAACCAGAGGATGAAGTGGGACTGCAGAGTGGTGCAGCCCTGAGCCAGTGTGTTGCAGTGCTATTGGAGAGAAAGGTCGAGAGTGTGCATGTGACACTGTTGTCGACAGGCCCCCAACCAGGTCCAACCCATCTCCCGCACTTCTGCCCTCACCCCCTCTCTTCCCTCCTGCAACAGCGATAGGTTCCCCTTGTCCTTACTTAACATCCCCCCAGCATCCACATCCAGAAGATCATCAGATGCCATTTCCACCACCTCCAGCGAGATGCCAACACCACCGCCCCCACAGCCCCACGGCACTTTGCCCTATAACCGGCGAAGGTACAACACCTGCCCATTTACCTCCTCCCTCCCCAGTATACAAAGGGCCCAAACATACCTTCCAGATGAAGCAACACTTCACCTGCACTTCCCAGAATCTAGTCTACTGCATTCGCTGCTCACATTGTGGTCTCCTCTACGTTGGGGAAACGAAGCGAAGGCTGGGTGACTGCTTCGCAAACATCTACGTTCTGCTCGCAAAAAAGACCTTGAGCTTCCAGTTGCCGGCCACTTCAATACACCACCCTGTTCCCCGGCCAACATCTCTGCCTCTGGCTTGCTGCAGTGTTCTTGCGAAGCTCAACGCAAGCTGGAAGAACAACACTCACTTCTGCTTGGGGACCCTGCAGCCCTCTGAACTCGATATCGAGTTCAATCATTTTAGGGCCTGAACTCACCCATGTCCTAGTCCCCTACCCCAC